TTGCAACAGAAATAATACTATATACTGTTTGTTGGGATCATGGGAAAAATTAAATGGAACTGATTCTCTATAATTAGAGACAATTGAATTTGTGAATGCAAGTTGCAAGAAGACACAAGACACTTTAAGTTATTTAAAATAAACAAAGGGAGAAAGCAACGTATTGCATGATTTCAATTTTTTTCTACCGATCTTACTCTCAAATCAAAGTGAGGACCTTCGATTCCCACGAAAAATGTTTATTCGTTACATGTGTAAAACAACAGTTAATGCTCCTATTCTATAACAAGATGAAATAGGCTTTAGCTAGACTTCGATTATGAATTTCTAAACATATCTTGGATAACACTGAACTAATGAAAAGTAACGAAACAAATTGCAAACAAATTAATCAATTCAAATGTCAGCAAAAGAAGGAAAACAATATTCAACACAACTTTTGATTTTTTAATTAAACGTGTTCGTAAGCATGAAACCAAAATGTGAGAAAAATCTCGTTCACTTTTAAATCGTGACAAATTTCCGCGATACAATGTTCAGGCTTTAGCTTTCAGTTTCATATGTGACATTAACAATTTCCTGCTTCAACTTTCCTCAAAAATAACGCGCGTTATACAAGCGTCTGTATTATAAACCCACTTGTTCATACACTTTCGCTGAATTACGCGTCGTGTTATGCGACAAGGATCGGTGTTTTTGATGTGTCGAGCACTGTACGAGCATCTATCAGGAATAAACTGTCGGAGTTACGATGAACGTGCTGGAAATTCAATTACAAAGGTTTATTACGAGTGGGTTGTTTGGCGAAATTTTGCGCACGCATAACGACAGATTAAATGTCAAAGGAAAAATGAACGTATTGAATTCGCCCGGGCCCCGTGAGTATTGCCGATTAAATGGAAATGGAAAAAGAGCCGTGAAAATCTTCCATCGAACGCGTATAAGTTGCTTATAAATCGGCTTTAATTTTAATTAAAAACACCGAACGCGGTCTTAATACCACCGATAAGCAAGAAAATTGGAACGTTTCGAACGGCGGTATCATGTTGCAATTATTCGTCGTAAACACGCGAATTCGGAAGTATGTATGTTGTTAACGAGATTATGTTCCGTTGTGTTTTATTTATTGTAATGTTCGTAAGTACGCTTACAGTAACGAGGAGTTTCATATTTATACTGGCCTTAATTTTTATACCTAGCGATTCGGTGATCATTACATCGTTTTCGATTACATAAAGTCGGACACATTTTAACCCTTTCCAGCCCAATTTAATTAAATTCTACGGAAGCGGGGGAAACACTTGATTACCAACATAATTTTAAAATAGTTCACCAAATGTAACAGTGAGGACACTTGTAAAAATGTTTATTTTACTGAGAAATTATATCAAATGACATCTATAGACAGAAATGCGGCATATGAATGCGAAAATAATGCATGATAACAAATGGAAACTTCAGCCTGGAGAGGGTTAACATCTGCTTGTCAAACGTAATATAGTTATTCTTGTTTTATTTTAGAATATATCTTTAATTTATCTAGTGATTCTTGTTAACCTTTTGAGTGTTATGGACGCATATATGCGTCCGGCGAAAGTTATCGGTGTGGACTATGGGAGCATACACTACCGGCCAAATGTTTGGAATCACTGTGCATTGCAAGTTGCACAAAAATTCCCCAAAAATGTTAGCATTTATAATAATTTTCCAACGAATTTTTTATTATTCAAATCAATCGAAATGAGATAGAGTGCTATTGATCTCCACAACATCAATTTCAAATCAATGAAGAATTAGTAGCAGATTCAATATTAATATAAATTGGCAGGTGATTCCAAACTTTCGGCCGGTAGTGTATATGCGTTTGTCAATTTTTTCGATCTCCTGTGTAGTATAGTTAGAATTTAATCTTTATATGAGATGGATACAAGTGTTCTTTAGCTACCTATGAAGAATACATGTGTGTTTAATTTGGTGTAAAAGAATTACAATAATAACTTATTGTTAGTTGCGCCTCGTACACTCAGTCAACAGAGTTCGCACAAGCAAAAAAGTATTCCGTCCATACGGAGAGCTTCGGCAGGGAGTATTCAGCACTCAAAGGGTTTAAACAAGAATTTCTATGGTAAATACTATCATTGATATACATTCCTATTCATAAGTATTAGGACACTTATGGAGTTTGAAGCAGACGTAAACAGTCATTGCTAAGTTATTAAGATCCTGAGAAAAAATGATTTAGTCTGAAATTTCCTAGTACGAATGCATACGGTAAAACTTTTAAATATTTATTTACCAAACATTAACGCAAAATTGAGTTTCAGAATGAGTTTGTTGTTGGTCGTTGAACTTGTCTCGATAGCCGCTTTCATATAACAAAAACAATTATATCATCGTCACTCAAAAATCAATGCAAATTTTTAAAAAATCTACTCAAGCCATCGTATTGTGTATAAAAAATAATGAAATTTTGTCCTCACCCATTTTTCTCACAAATCTACCATTTGGGAGAAAAACGCTAGAAACTAGTAGCATGAACACCCTGTATATTTTTACTGATACATGATATTAACTTTGGCGAACAAATATAATTTAAATCATATAATACTTTCTGTACAAACATAACAGGTGATCTAATACTTATGAACGGCAATGTACTAATGCTTATTCAAATTTACATTAGCAGGCCAAGTTATTTGTTAGTAGAATTTCTTTTAATTTTTCTACTCCGTTCAAAATGATTAAGAAATTACATTTTGAAGTTATTTGAACAAGTGCATTAAATACTGCAAATAATACTATTCAAAGTACATACTACTTTAAATATGGTACATGGGATAGAACATTTTCCTCCTATAGAAAATTAAAACAGGTCATTTTCTGATTATTGTATATGAAAATAACGATATAAGAATAATTAAATACGAAAATAATGCGATATTTTCGTACTTTACTTCCCAGAAACCACGTATTCCTTCGCAGTTTCACTTGAGTATTGTACTTTCTTCTATTTGCAAGGCTGAAACTATCGCGCATGCTTTTAAGCGTTACCTCACGGTAGAACGAAATGCATTATCCATTAGCGGGAAGCTTTAAAATTGTGATAACATGTATACGGATTGTAACCAAGTGTGCGAATGTTTTCAGAAAATACTGCTGCGTTACTGTTCTGTGAACACTGGCAGTCTATTACGCAACGATTTAGTTTTCAAGCTCTAGATCTTGTAAGAACTACACACTAAGATGTTGTGCAACTTTCGTTCCCACGCATTCAGGAATAAACAATTACACCGACCACGTTTTGCTGCCACAGCAATGCGCATATACATATATACAGGGTGTCCCAATTTTTTTCCGATCAAACTTTGTCAGTATGTTTTATGGGTACAGGTAAGGAAGAAATGCTATGTAAACATAGGTGATTTGAAGCTTTATTAAAAAGTTATAACGATAATACGAAATACGAAGGGAGTGGTAGCGGATTTCTAGGTTATGATACACAATAAGAATAGATCTCTGACTGTTTATGCGAGCTGTCTTTACGATCTGAGGTCGTTCAAGGTGTTGAACATAACCTCTGCCAGTGCCATTCTTGTCTTGTATCATAATAACCGTAAGTTCGTTACCATTCCCATCGTATTTCGTATTTTTGTTATAACTTCTTAATAAAGCTTCAAACGGCCTACGTTTATATAACATTTTGGTAATTATAGGGAGTAGGGTCCTCAGCACCGATTTCAATGACCTTGAAATACATATATTGTCAGGGTCAACATTTTGAACAACTCTTCTCTATACGTATTACCGCCGGACTCCTTCAGTTTTCGAGATATCAGTAAAAGTATGTGGTAATTGTGCAATTTAGTGCATTTTCCCAACTTTGCCAATCGGTGCTGAGGAGGACCCTATTCCTAATAATTACCAACATCTTTTTCCCTTACTTACGATCATATTGACAAAGTTTAATCGGATAAAACTGGGACACCCTGTGTTCGGGTCGCGTAATGTTCGATGCTTAATTGCCGAACCGGTACGCGAGTTTAATCACACCTTGATTTATTCAGCGTGAAATGCTAAGAACTAGTTTTATTTGCAACAGAGTGATACTTGAGGTGATGTCGCCACGAGACTATCAAAATACTAATTTTCGTAAGACCAACTGCCAAGACTTCCAAAAAAGGACGCGCTTCTGCCTCGTTTCCTTAGTTTTATCCGCTCGGCCAGTTGCTGATTGGTGGCCGCTTTCTTCTGGGGGTTGTAGGTGCTGACTCCTCATTGGAGGAGGTTGTTTAGGTGGGACGCAGCTCTTTCCAAGGGAAGGGGATTGTTGCTTAACATTAGAAAACCCCCATTTTTGGGTTTCTCCCAGGGGTTGCCGCGTGACTTTCCACCGCGCAGGTGACCTCTCCACGGGGGGTACGGTACGCGCGAGAGGACCGGTACCTCGGTCTGGCGGCCAAGTGCAATTGCACATGTTTATGATGATAATCCGCCAGACCGAGGGTTCGTCGCGATTTCTTGAGAGGCAACACCCTGTATATACACATTGCAGACATTTACATATAAGGCTCTAAATTGAACTTTTATAATACAAGTTTGAAAACAAATGTACCTAAATTAAAATTGCTTAATAGAGAAATGAATAATACTTGAAATACGTGTAGGAAAAAGTAAATTTTTATTTTGTTTCTCTTATAAATATTCTTCTGGAATTCCTAAAAATTAGTTAACGATATGTAAAAACAAAGTCACTGCAAATCTATTTATGTATCTACTTAGGAAGTTAACAAATTATTAAAACCGTTAATATTAATAATATGTTGAAGTAATACTTAGTTAAACATCAGTTGATTGAATAGAATCGTATAGGCAATGAGTTGCATTTAATCTACACCTTTAGTCTGTACGAAATGAACATCAACATGCGGTAATGCTCTTACTTGCCTATTAACGTCCTCTCTCCTTTATTACATTTTTCACTTACCCTTTCGAAGACGCATGGACGTAACGGGTTCTCGTTTCGGTTGGTAGTTCTGCAGTTTTCCGTTGTATCCATCTGTAAAATGTGTATGATTAATTGTTACATGAAGTTCAGTTAGATACAAACGGGATAGAGTGTTTTTTTTTAAATACTTATTGCAGAAAGAAAAAATTGCATAAGTTGTGACCCATTTTAAATTTTATGTTTATTCGAGAAATATGTTCCACTTGTCATACTGAAATAATAATTTAATAAAAATTTCTTTCATATTACAATTGTTGCGTATAACTTTATTATAGATCATTTTTGCCTAATGATCACGAAGTTAATGTAGAAATTAAATTAAAAATATATATTTCTTGAGATTACTGTAAACTAATTCAACAATATCCAGAAAAATGTATTTGGTACGTGAAATATAACGCGAATATTTTGTAATAAAATCTTTGAAATACAATTTTAAAAATTATACAGGTATGTATACTACCGGCCAAAAGTTTGGAATCACTGTGCATTGGAAGTTACACAGAAATTCACAGAAAAAATTCAGCAGCTTTAAGAATTTTTTAACGAATTTTGTATCATTCAAATCAATCGATATGAGATAAATTGCTATTTATCTCCACAATATCAATATCAGGTCTATGAAAAATTAGTAGCAGATTCAGTACTGATGAAAATTGGGTGGTGATTCCAAACTTTTGGCCGGTAGTGTACATGGGACAAATTATAAAGTATATGTTATATATAAACTGATCAGACTTTCTGAAGGCCAATTTAGCACATTTTTAGTAAAATAAAATTACATTTCAATTTAATTATTATATTTAACGAATTAGAAGAAATAAACAAATCAAACTTTCTATATTTTTATTATTAAATATCGCTTAATACTTAAGTACCTAATACTTAAACAATAGTTACGCATATTTATTTGAAAAAGAAATCATCTTCAATGATTCTTCGTTATTTACTAATGTTGTACTCCGCAATTGATATTTTTTTTCAAAGCATCTAACCCTAATTGATTTTTTTCATTGGCCAAATTTCACTTACTATTAGAAACTCTTTCAACTGGTGTATTTACACCAGGAATACATAAAAGATGTGCAATTACTTTAATTATATATTATGTACATTCTTTTTGCACATTTAGAGTTATTTTTCTTAAAATCAGTAGAATATCCACTGCAAAATTTAAATCAGTGTAAAAACATTAAAATCAGTACGTCTGGTCACTTTAAATATATACCAATATTAAATATCAATGTTACAAAGTCAAATTATGCAATAAGCCCTTGATCATATTTGTCAGTAAATTAACACGCAAGTCTCCCAATGAAGGCAAAAATCAACTTACTCTAATTTCAATAACATCCACTCAAATAAATTTATTTTCCACGTTTTTAAGGTGAATCTTACAATAGCAACATATTTCGCTCTATTTCGTCGCAAAAAAATTATACACGCGCACCTAACAACATAGTAACAATCGCCAAAAGGACATAAGCCCGGGAAAGTGTGGCGATCACATCCAGAACGTGGATACAGAAATCGTTCCGACTGACAAGCAATAAAGTGGACAGTCGATTTCGGTTAGGTCCAGTTCAGTAAATTCAGTTTTACGTGATTTCATTTATTTTTACACCATCCCCGTGTACTCTATCCGCGTCATCTTTCGATTCAATTTGTAACACTCGGTGAATCTTTAATCTCGCAATACAGTAATCGTTAATACACAGCTCGCCGTACAAGTGTATTGTTTTCATGCGAGTAACGAAATTGCCGGTGGCACAAAGGAATCAACGATCTGTGAAAGATACCACGAGCGTCTTCACGTAACCGCTCGCGGTTCTCTTTCAGTATGTTTATACGAACTCGCGTGTATGTGTGGATCGGTGTTGCTGCTTGAAACGAAGAAATAAACGTTAAACTGAATCCGTACACCCTGGGAACCATCGAGGCGCAGAAAAAGAACTAATATCCACATCAATGCCTCTTTTTCAAGTTACACGTATCGACAGTTGTGAGAAATTAATTTCCGTTGAATTTCAGGTTTTTATATTAATATAGCGAAGATTAATATCTCAACGGCGAACACGATACAGTTTTTCAATAATTTTCTGATAGTATTAATAATTAGTTAATTTTTTCAGGCACAGTGTTTTGAGTGTATGGGTTTTAGGAACAAAAATCATGACCTGGAATTTGTTCACAATTTGAAAAATCAATTGTACAGGGTGTACTGCGTAACTTTGCCATATGAAATATTTCCGTTGTAATTGAAATTTCGTACAAATGTTTGCTACAAAAGTTGCATAGTTTTATGGGGGCCAGTGTATAATAACAATTGTTTCATTTCGTTGCAAAGGATTAACGAGATAAGAAGGTCAACTTCGTTTCTCTAAATGGAATGCTATATTTTATTTATTTGCACATGATAGCCATTTTGAAGACCAATTCAACGACATGTAACACTAAATCCTTCAAGGTCAGCCAAGGTCGTGTAAACAGAGCGAACAATTGTGTTCAAGTGAACTTTCCATGACACTTGCAACATGTTAGATAAGCAAGTGAAGCGTTCTCAAGAGTCGAAGATTAAGTAGAATATTACTTCACAGCGGCACCCTAAGTTAAACAGAACCTTGAAGGATTTAGCGTTACAGGTCGTTGAATTGGTCTTCAAGATGGCTGTCATGTACAAATAAATAAAATATAGCATTTCATTTAGAGAAACAAAGTTGACATTCTTACCCTGTTAACCCTTCGTAACGAAATGAACCTATTGTTATTATACACTGCTCTCATAAAACTATGCAACTTTTGGAGCAAACACTTGTACGAAATTTCAAATACAACGGAAATATTTTAAATGATAAAGTTACGTGGTACACTCTGTATATTGCTTAGTTCTTAAAGTGTATATAAATATAAGAATTGCATATTTGGTTCTGACGTTAAGTCAGAATCCGACCCAGAAAATCAATCAGTGTTTGTATCTGATGTTTATACGACCTTTTCTTATCCTTAGGAACAGTAAAATACGGTACCAGTACCGTTTGGCCATCTATTTCCTCGTCGCCCGGTATATCATACATCATTTTCATGGCATCTCGTTATCTCGTTTAAAAATTTCTTCATAAGCCGCGTATTACGTTACGATCTATGATTGATCACATTTGCACAAAAAAATCTAGGTTCCATCACATCGGTTCGAATAGTAAACAAGTTGAAATCTGTTAAATGTTGTTCAGTCAATCAAATGCATACAGCGTGTCTTCAATTGCATCAAACGGTACGTACTGCGTGACCGGAACTCCATTACGCATTCTTCTAAATATGGAACAAGAAGCCGTTACACCTTTCCTCATCCTACCGATAACTATGCTGTCTTATCCACTCACGACGAATCATTCTTTCTTACCTATTACCGTATTTGTTGGAAATTATACAAATTCTTCGGTGTTCGGCAGTTAGGTTTTGTGACATTTTACTTATATTAAGTCATCTTGTAAGTTCGTGTCGAAAGCGGAAAATATTTTAACGAAAATCCAAGGAAATTCTATAACGACGACATAATGATCTTACCAAAATGGTAGGAAAAATTTGTGGAACGACGTTTTTTTCTTTTTTTCAAATTTTAAGGAACCTTAGCGCTAAGACAGCAAAGGACTTAATTTATGATCGCCTAAGGACGGAACACTAGTGTTAGAGAAAAGTAGCTAAATATGGAATACTACGTACCTAATATGGACTAGAGCTGTTTTTAAAAACCTGACAAATAAATATCCGTCAAATGGCTATAGACTGTCTCACTTATTTTAGTACCCCACACGTTGGGGTTTATCAGTCGAGCGAACGTTAATGTCGTGACAGGATCGTTTTATTTTGTTGCTATTCGAAAACTTTTGAAGGTGTACAAAGACGTGTCTTTTCGTATTTGTTATTATTTTCCCATGCTTATTTGTGTTTTTTTATTGTTGCTGACATTCCTGTCATACTCGTAACCGAATACCGTGTTTTTAGCTTTGTAAAATTCCTTATATGGACACCCATTCAATTTATGGAATATATTATGGAATTCAATTTGACAGAGATAGTGAATCTGACATTACGATAGGTCAATCAGTTCCTTACTCTACGGATGTAGAATGTTTATTGTGCCAAAGATTTCTTTCACAGGACTCTGATGGAGAGATAAAGTGCTCAGTATGCGATCTCTGGGTACATGACGATTATGCTGGTGCAGAGTTTCATACCTGGATTTGCGATTATTGTAAATAGCTATTTTTTAATGCGATTCTTTTAAAATGTGATTTTATAACCAAAGAAGAATAAATCTATTTTTGGTTGGTTTTCTATGAAAATATTGCACCTAATGTCGGTGTTCCATATTATGTACAATTTATGTCTTCTTAATGTTACTTCCGTATTGAAAATTGTTCATAGCGTTAGAAATATAAAAGTGGTCTTAAATTGAGTGTAAATATATGACTGGATACCCATAAAAATCTTTTTCTGTTGCGATGGAATTTGTGAAGAGTGACATTCGATAAACAAAATGGCTACATTCCTCTAAGTGTTGAGTTTAATAAAACGTTACATATATTACAATGATTCTTCGATTTTGTCATACTCGGCACATCATGTGCAAAAACCAAGACTGAAAGACATCAATCAACCACAAGCCCTAACACAGATCCTTTGTACTTTTAGATTCTCAGTTTAATCAAATTTTCCTACGAAACCCTTCGGGGTAGCATAGCGGCCAGATGGAACTTTTTTAAATGCTGAAATGAGTACTTTCACAGCCACTTTGCATTCGCCCAATTCCCATTTAATTGAGGTTATGTAAATTCATTCATTATACGGAGTCCGAAGTTTTCTTACGTTCATCGTCAGCCCGCTGTTAAATTTCTGACACAGTTTCGCTCAATGCTGAGAACTATCTCGGGAAAATATCGATTAGGCGGTCCTATTTGCATTTCACGATTTCCTTGATTTCACGATAGTATCATGAAACATGTATTAAAATTTTTGTCACATTTTCAAAAATCGCGAATAACACGTGAAAA